GAGCTAGCTCGCAATAAACACCTCTTTGCTGCTTACATCAATCTTGGGTCTCCGGTGGTCTTTGGGGGTCCTGAATTCGAGCATAACATCCCCAAAAGGGTAAAGGGGAAGGATTACAAAGGAACAGGTGAGAGTAACTCAACCCCACTGGGTAACGCCTCCTTCTGAAGCCAGAAGGAGATAAAGCCCAAGAGGCACAATAATTGTTCAGTATCCCTTGCTCAGGACTTAAGGGCATGTATTTCAAGAGCAGCTCCTCATATTTGTTTGTTTTAGTGTTTGCTGGCAGATACTGAGATAAGGTCTGTAACTAAAACAGGTCCTATCTTCTCCACCAAATATAACTGTTCTGACACATGCCCACCCCCAAAAGCAATGGTCACAGAGGAAATATTGTCACCTCTCTAAAAGAGCCACCACCTTGCCACCTGTGTACTTTCCATCTTTTGTCATTTTAACATTATGTCATTGAGAGAATGATGCCTTTATTTTGAGATTAAAATTTGAACCTTGGTTTTGCTGTATGCTAACTGTGTGACTTTGGGCAGGACTCTTAACCTCTCTGAGTCATAATTTCCTCATACTCACATGTCTTACAGGCTTGTTTTGACAAGTGAATGGGATAATATGTGTGAAAAGGCTACTGCTGTGCCTGGCAAATGAAAGGTGATTATGGTAGCATACACTATGTGTCGGATGCAACTTCACACAGTTTTTATATATTTGCTTAATTATCCCAGCAACCCTGTGGGGCAGTTCTTGTTATTATTTCCATTTTACAGATACAGTTAAGTAATTTGGTCAGCTGGTAACTCAAGTAGCTTGGGTGTGGGAATTATTCATTTAACTGCTCTTCAACACTGCTGATTCATAATGCTCTAAGATTTTCTTCTCTCTCGTTTTCAAATGTTTTTATTACATGGCTCAAGTTTTCAGTTCTCAATTTTGTATTTTTCCTTGTTATTAAATTGCATCCATTATCTGACCCTAAGACAACTTTCATTCCCTTTATGCTAACATAGGCAGTTTTATGCAATGGCAAGAAATGAAAAATTCAAATTTGCTAAAATGCAAGAGATAAAGTCTCATTATTGCCAACCTTCTCTATGGGAAGCCGGGTGAGCGTAGCTGGGCATACAAAGTGGTCTGGAGATATGACTTTCTTCTTGAATAGCCAGGAACTGACCAAAAAGAAAAATCAGGGCTTGGAAAAGCCATTAAAATCAGAATGGAGTGAGGTATTTTTATTTTAGAATGTTAGGAGAAATGGAAGTCCATTCATATTGTGCATGTATTGGGTGTGTGCATGTCTATGAAGGAATGTGGGTGGGTATGGGTGCACGTGTGGTGGGTATGCTCACATGCATTTGGAATATATAATGAGGCCTTGTGGGTGTTTGGTACAAAAAGATGGGCTGGGAATAATTTTCTGGTTTATGCATTTTCAAATCATTGAGCTCGTGACACTGAGAAGAGAAAACAATCTCCAAGGAGAAAATAAAATCATATTTCTCATGAAACAGGGCTGCCACATTTAGCAAATAAAAAGACAAGACTCCCAGGTAAATATGAATTTCAGATAAAAAAACAAATAATTTTTGAAATATATATATATATATTTTTTCCAGGCAATATTTGGGACATCCTTTACCAAAAAATTATTTGTTATCCACACCTCAAATTCAGCTGGACGTGCTGTGTTTTATCTGGTAAACTTACAATGAGAGAGAATGGATTTAAATGCCTGTTGACTTTTAAACATCTTTGAAACCCACAAACGCATTTGAACTAGCAAAGACTTTTGGTTTATCTGGGGCATCAACATTTTCGCTTGCAGGAAGTCCTTGAATGATTTGGCACCACCGTCCGTGAAATGGGGAAATAATCTCAGTGGGTGCCCTGTCCTTTCCCCAGGGGGAAACCCTGCAGTTTTCACATCCTTATCCCCCTGTACAGTGGCTTGGGGCATTTCAGAGGAGTTTATTCTCTGCTTCAATTAAAAAAAACAAAAACAATTAAGAATGTTTTCAAAGCATTGCTGATAGCATGGCTTATTAGCCAGCTAGAATCCTGGGGTGTTCAGTCTTCTTTCTTTTTCCCCCCACCGTGACTTGCGTGGTGATGTCATTCTTCCTTTCAGGTACCTAGCAAATACTGAGAAGTTTCTGGAGAGAACAGGACGCTGATGGAAAGGCACAGGGGAAATGTCACGTGACCCAGGGAAGCTCAAAGCTGGCACAGGTGATGATGTGATTGGAGGGGACCCCTCAGTGTCCCCAGAGGGCATCTGGATACAGCTGCAAGTGCCCTACTCATTTTTTTTTTCACATAAATAAAGTGGAATGTGGGAGCTAAGCCTCAGGCTCAGAGGTAACCGTCTCTGTGTTCATAATACGTTGCTCTCCGGTTGTCTGAGCTGGAATCTCTGGCCTCTCATTGCTCCATATGCGAGAAGGCTGAAATACTGGTGCCTGTGTCACAGAGTCACTGTAAGGACTAAATGAATGACATCATTAGTAAAACCTGTCACTCGGGAGCACTTAATAAATGTTAGTCATTGTTATCATTATTGGGGCCTGGGACTCTTTCTCCTAACAAGTCATAATTTTTATTAATAACCTTTTCAGCTGGTAGATGTGATGCCTGTTCACAGAACAATATGTAAATATAAGAAACCACAGATAAAAAAATTGAATCAGAAATACCCCATTCTCTCCCCTGCTATCTCTGCTCTATCAAGGAGAACCACCTGAAAAGCTTTTAGAACAACAGATACCTGAGCCCCAAACTGCCTCTAACAAACCAGAACCTCAACAGGCATAGTCAACGGATCTGTATTTAAAAAAAAAAAATTCCAGAATGTTCTATTGTCAAACCAGATTAATTAAAGAATCACTGACACACACGTGTGTGCTCACTCTCTCATATAGTTTTAAAAGATTGCACGATATTGTACATCCAGTTTGTAACCTGCTTTTTGTGGAACTGTTAGATCTTTCCTCATCATTTTTCTACAATATGTTTTTTTCTTAAGGCTGTAGCTGTGGTTTCTAACAAGTCCCAATCCACTGCTTTTCACCCAGCAGTCCTCTCACAAAATGAATCCATTTAAAAATGTCATTACTCTTGCCTTCTTGTGCCCCTTCAGTCTGCCACGCTTGATGGATAGAGACCTGGTCACAGTTATTCCTTCTCTCCCTCTTGCTTCAGCTCCCTAACTGAGGGCCAGTGTGGCTCTAGTCTGCCAGTCATCACTCAGTGGCTTTGTGACTAATTAAGGCTTGAGATCACACCAGTGGGCATGCCAGCGAGGCTATGCATATTTTCTTTCCTAAAATATTAATTTGACATATAATGCTATTTTTCATTTAGTGCTCAGCCAACCATGATGGTGGCTATTTCCGTTCAGAACAATCTCCATGGACTCCGAGTGGAAATTTCCTTGGCCGTCCGACTGACATTTTAGGAAAATAAAGTGACAGTAAAACACCATTAAAAAAAATTCCTGGGAGATGGCTGTCTCAGTTACTGATTAATGAGAACAACTACAGGGTAAGCAAGAGCCTCATGGACATGGAGAAGCAAACACCCCACCATTTACATCCATCCTGCTGCAATATCTGAAGTTACCAGAATGAATGCTGTAGTCACAGGACAACAAACATCACCTTGCCTTTCTACCCTCCTGGGTTGATACTCTAACTGGGTTGAAGCTCAAGTGATGGTGATCGGAAAACTTTTCAAAATCTTGTAAACCAGGTTTTATTCATATGGAATAACAAGGAGCAGGGGTATGTCAGGTTACTAACTGGTCTTTGAGGGAACCAAGGAGCCGGTCTCAACCCCTAGACCTGGGCCATTTGAGTAGGGCATGATAAGGGATGCCAACTGCCTGGCATTTATTGCACCCTGTGGACAACAGGGCATTGCCAGAGAAGCCTGAGCTGTTCTGTGAATGGACAGATGAATCACTGAACAGACTTGAATGAAGGTAGTGTATAATTATTGAGGAATGGAGGCCAGGCACTCTTAGGGTTGATTGAGGAAGCACTGGAGGACAGCCTGTCCTCTCTTGGAGAATAAATATTTAGAAGGATGCTGGCTGAATGGTTTTCTAATGAAGAGTGAGAGAAATGAAGATAATTAGAGAGATGAAGCCCATGTAATTAGTTGGGGTGTGCTGGCTAGAATTACCCTTATCACAGGCCTTAGGAAAAGGAGTCTTAAATATGTGGACACTTTTTACAGCAGTGGGAAATAATGTGGGTGCTGTCCAGCCATTCCTCAGTATCTGTACCCCTGGTTCCAGCACCCTACATGGAGGCCAAGACCCTTATTAAAATTTGCATAATCTTTGCATATGACGTGTATATTCCCCCCATGTGTTTTAATTGTCTCTACTTATAACACCTAATACAATGTAAACAGTTGTTATACTATATTGTTTACGGACTAATGACAAGAAAATAGTAGTTACATGTTCAATAAACATGCAACTTCCTTTTTTCAAGTATTTTTTTATCTACAGTTGGTTAAATCTGTGGCCTGGAACCCAGGGATATGGAAGAGCATCTGTAGACACAGAGATATGCAAGTTTTTCCACATATCCACTGGCTATTTGCTATCCTAAACCTCAGTTCCTTTCTCCACATAAAACAGGACAGGTACACACTTCCAATTGTCACAGGGTTGGACTAAATGAGATCTTGTGTGCATGGGGCATGGAACACACAGGACTGGAATGGCCAGCAGGAAGGTGAAGGTTGCAACCGAGGTTGATGGGATGAAGGCTGTCAGGGGTGATGGGGGAGGGGATATCTAGCTTAGATCTCTGTTCTTTCTAGTTAGGGTACCTCTGGCCCTGCCTGACACTGGCACACCAAGTGTGACAGTTTAATGGTTTGTCAACCCAGAGCCAGCATTGCTCTATTTTGATTGGTTGATCAGCAAGGCCCAACAACATACAAGGGGTTCTGGAGCCTGCCAAAATGAAGACTGCTTCTCCTGGGAGGGGAAGTCCGTGCTGCTCAGGATCCCAGCAGAAGGAGACATCCAGGAGAGCTCTGCACCTCCCCAATCTCCTATCACATCAGTTGCCTCATCCAGGAAGTAGCCCTGATGCTCCTGCCTTCAGCCTGCACATGGGCTTCCTTAGTTGTCCCAACAGTCCTCACCCCAGAGCTGGTGAGTTCTACTGGTGGTGGCAGCGGACCTCAGAATCATTGCTCAGGAACCAACCGAATCTCTGCAAGCACCACCTATTCTGCCAGGGAAGAGAGCCTAGCTCACTCCTTTTATTAGTTTCCTAAGAGTATAAATCAAGGGTCCATGGTGAAATTTAATTTCAATTCTGCTGCCTGAACACTGAAGGAACAGTTTCCTCTCATTCTTCAGTTGAAACAAGAAAAGAAGGCAAGAATGATTTCTAAACAAAAAGTGATTTTCAGCAGATGATTTATGTATTTACATTCTCCTCCAAAGATAGGCATTCTTTCTCTGGAGAGGGGCCCTTAGATCTGATGACACGTAAGAATGATAGATATTGGTTCTAATCTATTAATTCCTCCTGTTTTTGTGAGCTATCTTTTGCAGAAATATTTTTTTTCTCTCTGGCTACTTTTAAGATCTCCTTAATTTTTGCTGTGTACCATTTTCAATATTATGTTTATAAATGTGGATTTCTTCCTATATATCTTGCTTAGGATTCACTGCGATTCCTGTATCTGACGATTCCTATTTTTCATAAATTTTGGAAAATTCTCAGCCAGATTATGTTATCTTATAGAATTTCCTACAGTCTGGACTTTGTTGATTATATACCTTATGATGTTGTTCAACTTGTTCTTCTGTCCTTTATAGTCTCTATAATTTGGTAGTTAAATTGAAAGTCTTGATCAGACTGACTTTGATTTTTTTGGCAACAATATTTTACAGAAGGTACTATGACCATCCATCAGGAAGCACATGATGTCTCTCTTTTTGTGATACTTGGAAGCACTGATGATCATTGTCTAGATCCTTCATTTCATTGGAGGTCACCTAGAAGTGATCTTCTAATCCTTTCATTTCCTTTTTTTGGAATAGAAAACCCCTCAGAGTCAGTTTGCTGGGTTCAAGGACCAATGCATGTGAAACTTTGCTTAACATTGCCAATCTACCCTATGTGGAAGTTGTACCATTTTGCTTTTCTGCTGACAATGTGTAAGGATGTCTATTTGCCCTCAGAATGGCCAAGTGTGTTATCCAGTATTATATTTTTGCTTATCTGATGGTGAGACATATTGACTTAGTGTAGTTTTACTCTGCATTTCTCTTATTATAACTGAGGTTCTTATTTGTCTCCTTCATAGCTCTTGTCCCTATCCTTCATAAACTGGCAGCATACCCTTACAACTAGAAATAGAGTGTAAGACTAGAAATAGTATATAAAACTAGAAATAGTGTATAAACCGGAAGTAGTGTATAAGGCTGAGGAAGAGTCCAAAGGAACAGAGGGTAACAGCTTAGGTGTCTATGCCATAATTATTGCTAATAGGAGCAGAAAGCAGGTCTCCAAATGCCAAGACTCCTGTCCACTGGTCGTTTTCCCTTGGCATGGTATCACCAGTGTTTTCCCTTGCTATTTGAATGTAATGTCAAATAAACTAGTATGTTATCATGTGTTATGCAGAACTTCCAGAAATATATGAAAAGGGTCCTTCCCAGGACAGAGCAGTTGTTTCAGCCTCTACTCATACATGGGGTCAAAGAGAGGGTTTGCTCATGGGAAGAGCAAAGCCTTTGAGCCATACACTCAGGGCCTGGGACAACTCATCTGCTTAGCGGGAATCTGGTTGCTTGGTTTCCAGTTGGATTGGAGATGTCACAGGAGGAGGAACTTCTTTTTAAAAACCCTCAGCACACAATGGTCACACACCAATGAAAGGTCTATCAGCAAGATCCTGAAACCTCTAGGAAAACTTTAGCATGTAGGGTTGATCCCATGAGAATTTTATTTTTAAATTTCAAACTGAATAATGCCCTTGCTGGCATCAGTTAATGGAAACTTAGGGAGTAAAGTTAATGCACCACTGTTACCAATAAATATTAATTGAGACCTTTCTATGTACAGGGTGCATGGCTGTCTATGTAGCTCACTGATAATCTTATTGGTAATAGAAAAATGATGAACAATAGTGGTGAGGAATCTTTAAGGAACACTGGTTCCCTTCAGCAATTGAGGTCTTTAGTTTTTTTTTTTTTAATACACGACAGCGGAATGTATTATAATTCTTATTACACATGTAGAGCACAGTTTTTCATATCTTTGTATAAAGTATGTTCATGCCAGTTCATGTCTATATACATGTACTTGGTTTTTTTTTGCATTACAATTCTTATTACACATATATACCACAATTTTTCATATCTCTGTTTGTAGATAAAGTAAGCCAGGAGGGGTAAAATGTATACAATTAATGCAATTTCCCTGTGATTGCCCACAATTCTTTCTCAGCATTTCATTGTCTTTTGCATTTATAATATGGAACTTCACATGCAGAATCATTATATATGTGCCTCCCTGCTTTCTTCTTATACAGAAAAGACGACCTAGTGAGTTACTGATTACTGCCTTTGGGTTTCTCACAGAAGAATTCTCCAGCTTAGCTGTGATATTGAAAAATTGTAACAGATTGCCTTTTTCTTCTAGGTTTTGCTTCCTGTGGTATGGCCTTACTGTTCAATTTAGATGCTGTGTTAATCAGCTTTCCATTATTGAAACAAAATACCTGAAATAATTTAAAGAAAAGATTTATTTTGCATCTTAGTTTTGGAGGATTCAGTCTGTGGTCAGTTGGTTTGTTGCTTCTGGGCCTGTGGCAAGGCAGTAGTACATCATGGCAGGAGTGCATGGCAGAGGAACT